ACATCTACACCCACACACCCCCCTTGCATTACACATGCACACTGAGGGCCAGGTGGCAGGAATAACTGAAACATAAGAAAGTTAGTGATACAAATATAGAATTAGGCTAAAGAGTGTCTTATGCCTGGAAAAATACAGAGAAAAATCTGAAGATGCACTCTCCTATCAAAAAGTAACATGCTGCAATCCAGCACAAAATACATCAACAACAATGAAACTGAGCAGATCCTGCGCATTCTCAGAACTGCCTGATAAGGAGGTGTTCATTAAGCAATGTAGCACATCCAGTATTTGCTGAAAAGACCTGTACTGGTCCCAACTTGAAGAAACTTGCCATCCTCCCCCCAAAGAAAGAAATGCAACTTCAGGAACCCCACCCCACTCCAAAACCTGATTTTGTGAGGCCAGGTAGCTAATATCAATACTCAGGAACACCCTCCAAACTGCACAGCAAGAGTAGTGCTTTGTATATGAGACCCCTTTTTCCCCCTATTCTCCCTCATGGAAATAAGCTTCCCTGACAAGAATAAGCTGAGGCAACTTTTACTCAAAGAGCCTGTGTGCATCAATAGAGTAACAGTGACACTTGCTGTCAGCCAGGGGTGTGGAGAGGTCAACAGATAAAGCGAGTCAGGTAAACACCCTGCAAGACAGCCACTTTGACAAATGGTCTTGGCTTGTCAGCAAAGCCTGGGTACTCCTTGCACTAAACACTTACACCAGCTAGACAGAGGGTGGGGGAATAACAAAACAATTCCCACATATTCCTCCATCTCCCTCAGGAATAGTAATATTTTCTTTGGGCTGGAGTTGGCAGAAAGTGCCTCTTCCATCTTTGTTTTTTTCCTCCCCTCAAGTCATGCACTGGGTTTGTGTCTAACAGTCACTCAGCTGAGATGCCTGGTTGCTTTGCAACATTAGATTTTACATCACCCTTTACTAAGAGGTACATGACTGTTTCACAGGAGAACACCAGACAACAGATTTTTTTCATATTCAAGTGCCATTTACCTACTCAATTTACTTTACCTGTAGTTTTACTGCAGCATGTTTCTACACACCTGCTTCAGAGCTGGAAGACATCTAGATGCAGCGATGCAGCAATGCCTCAGTTAGTCAGTCCTACACAGACCCAGCACTTTTTAGCTTAGTACAGTCCCATACTGATGCAGCATTGCAACTTCCAGAGCCCCAAACACACATTGCAGCACTTCTCAGATGCACCCGTATGTTCAAAGTTCAAGTGCAATTGCAGCACTGATCCATTCGTTTTTGACCTCATATGAGTCTGATTATTAGAATTAAGCAGCCTACTGAAAGGTGAGTCTTAAGTAGATTACAAAGGATTTAAAAAAATACGTAATTAGCCAGCTAGTCATTATCTTCCCTTTGTGGAGAAAGGGGTGAAACAGTCAGACTCAGAAGAGTAGCTTCACTTTTGTTCTTTAAGTTGCCATTGGAGGAGCATGTCTACCACAAGACCACATACTGACTACAAAGGAGTCGAGGCAGACTATGTCCAAAGCAGGATGGCAGGAGCTTATCCAAAAGGTTGTTACAGGCATGACCCTGCTACCTCTACTAGCTCTAAACCTACCCTTTTCTAAGTAGGTCCTTGGTGCCCAAGGAGGGTCCTCCTCAGCGTATGGATCGCTGTACTCCACCACTGCTGCTTCCTCCTCCTCATAATCCTCTGGAGGTGGGGGTGGAGGTGGAGATTCATCAAACACTGGCTCATCCACAGGCGGTGGGGGGGGAGGAGTATCTGAAACTGAAAATAAGCAATAGTATAACCATGAAAATGTCTCTAAAACCATGGTAGCAGGTTGAAGTGCTACCCCCTATCCCAATTAGTTGCACTGGGACCAATAGTTAGAACTTGTAAAAATACACTAGAGACAATAAAGATCCTTCAGAGAATGAAGGATCAGGTTCCTCCAGTAAAATTATTTCCTTTTCCATCCCTTCTCAATTTCAGACAAACTTGCAGAGGCAGTAGAGAAGACAGAAATCTGGCTATAGACAGACAAACCTTTCATCCACTCAAAACAAAAGCCACATCCAGTAATAAATCATAGCACAAGGAAGCAGCAAACTTACTGTTTTCTTGAACTCTGGCCACAAATCCCATTAGCGGTAACTGTGGAGTTACCTGTAGGATGGAGGGGGGAGGAGGAGCAAGGGATGCTGCCACAGAAATTAAAAAAAAGAGAGAGGCATTCAGTTAGGGACACAACAAAGCAGCAAACAGGAAAGTAGACATCATCACCACTCGGACAGTGTAGCAGTCTGCCAAGAAGCTGAGATAAAAAGGCTGACATTCAAAGAAAAGTGGCTCAGGTGGTTTAAGCATATTCCTAATCCTTACTTCAAGGAGATTTCTCTATTTTTAAAATTTCCAGCCCAGCACTTTTTCATAAGATGGAGAATCCATGCTCAAGTATTTTCCTGATCTGACTATGAGATTCCCTTAAGTTGAAGTTTATTACTGCAGCAATATAGCACTTTATGAACAGACCTAAGTAACAAATATATCAAGAGGATTCTCTCCCTATAAATCTCCACCATTCAGATCAAATTGCTATTTATAGAGGTGACTTCTGTAACACCATACATGAATACTTAGTTATGAAAATGGATAGAACTAGTTTTCTCCAAAATGTAGGCCAAAAAACCCCAGCAAATAAGGCAGTTATTTCAGGCAAGACATAACACCTTTGAGAACTCAGTGCACTCAGAAGACATGGGACTTCTGATCTTATTGGTAGAACAAAGCGCACGGTACTGCTGCTGAACAACAGGGCCTATTCCAGATGTGCTGGCTCACTTCCTTCCCACCTGATTTTGCAGCACACTGCGCTGAACTCTGAACAGTCCTTTTACTGGTACCAGAACAGCTGTCTTTGTACAACACATGTGAGTTCACATTTAAAGAAGACAGTGTCAGCCAGCTGCAAATGTTGTAACACTGAACTGTGGTTTAAACCAGGAATGAAAGTTTCCATTACCTAGTTAAGCTAAAAAAAATAGGTAACTAGTTTTATCTAGTTTTAGTATCACTTTGCAAGAGTAATGCAGTAATACTCTTTAAGCAAGTTACAAGATTATTTTTCAGAACACACATTTCAGGAAAAGCACAACTAAATAATTTTCTTGTTAGTAGTGACATACAAAAACATTTAGTCATGTCCAAAAGAATGAGAGGAAAAAGGTCTACACTTCATTGTACCAGTACATTTATTTAGCTTGCAGAACAGAACTAAATAAATTTTAGACTAATTCCAGAGCTGGTAAGAAAACTGCCAGGTATGATGTAGCATTTTTCAGAATTAATTTACATCATCATAGCAAATGAAAAGAACTCCACAGCATTTAAAATTCATGTCTCAAAATTTCTTCAGTTTGCTTATTTCAGAATTTCTTCTGTCAATCACATTCACATTCCTTTCACAACCACACACCCTAAACAAACAAAAAAAAACACAACAAAGCAACCATCCTGTTTGTTGCAAAAATATCCTTGTACCTCCATATGAAGCAAGCTCAATTATCTCACCATTTAATTGATATTTCTTGAGAAAAAACAAAATACATTTCTAATTACAGCTTCTTTGACTTGAATGACATGACCTCTAAGAGTATTTATTCCTTCAAGTGTAACCACAGTAGCTGGAAAAAGATTTGGTCTTGCATTTTTTCAAAGCAGGAAAAGAGAACTTGAATTTGAAGTCCTACTGAAATGCAATAACATTCATGAATTCAGCATTCTTGTGCAACTATGAAGTCCCTGCCTTTTTAATTATATATGCTACAAAAATGTTCTGTTTCAAAATGTTTCCTCTACTCAGCGTCATATGGATTCATACAATTCAAATCTATTATATGAGACTAGCTTCAGTTTCCTAGGCCCCTTCAGTGTACTTTGTGTGCTATATATATTCCTTTGAAAGAAATTAATGAGGCTTTCCCTGTAGAAGAATAAATCACTCCAGACAAGCACTCCAAGCAAATACAAGAAAATCCCTTAGTTTCGTTTGGGTTGTGTAGTTTATCAAAACGGCGATGCTAACACTAGCTGACATCATTCCTTGCTTATCTTAACCATTTGGTTTGTGCTTCAGTCTACGCACAGTGCAGGGACTTACATATTATATTGTCTCTATAAGATATATAATGACTCTAAGCTAGTTTTGACTTTTAGGAGCCAATACAATAAATATTTTATTAATAATGACTGTTTATAAAGTGCATCAGAAGAATTTTACTGTACCTCTGCTGTCTCAAAAGATAAATAAACACCATCTTAAATGTTCCCTCCATATAGACCATCGGTAGATTAAGAGTTTGTCTACACAGTTGCTGTAAATTAATTCAGAAATGCTTGAAAGCACCTTCCACCAGACTGCTTCAGCTGGTAAGAATTCAGCTATACAACTAGTGTGTAGTGCAGATCACCATCTCAATACTTGCCCAGTTTCTCCCACAGGGCTTTTAGCCTGTGCTGAGCTCTATATTGCTTAGATACTGGTATCTGAGGTTGCAAAGTTAAAATACTTGTTAGGTGGCATGGCTGGCAAGAGCAGCTTTGGGACAGACACATGCTGAGATCATTCAGGGTCTACAATTCTTAATATTTTCTTTCCAGTTGTTAAAAAGGTCTCACCATGAAGTAGAGAAATTATGTTATCTTAGAAGTGGCATTCAAAAGAACAGGGCAAGGCAAATAAGTATCTTTCATCCTCCTGTGAAGTGAATAAACAAAAATGACTATGCCAACATACTAAAAAAATAGAAGTGGAAAAAACAGTACTGCTTTATTGCCAAACAGCCTGCAAAGAAGAATAAGCCATAGCTGGCACACCCCTCTGCCTGTTGTAAGGTCTCTTTTTCATCTCTTAAGTTTGCATTTTCTCCCTCTATTCCGGAATGCTGAGAAGCAATTGTAGCCCCCGTCCTGTCACTTACTAACCCTGCTCCTTACAGACACAGCAGTCCCTCTGTTCTTAAAGTCTTCATCAATTATGCATGCTTGAGCATCCTCTCCTTTCAAGGTGCAGGCCAGAAAAACTTGGTTCAGTATAACTGCAAAGCTAAGAAATTCTGTATTCTGCTAGGTATTTTGAAAAGTCTCTTACTACAACTGCTTATTTATATTGTATCAAGTATGCCAGTATAATTGAAGTATTTTGTGATTTACAGCTCAAGTGACTAATCACCATAATAATTATCTTATTTCTGGGTATGCAGACTGTGGTTATGTAACTTATGTAAAGTCTATTTGGCATCTTCTGTGATTACCTATCAACAACGCAATGGTAGCTTGCAGAGCACTATTCCTTTGCTAAAGCAGAAATGCACAGCACTTGTCAGAAACTCTCTGGATACACTGAAAATCCTCTTTACTGGAAAGGTAATCCTGAAAGGTTTCTTTTGTTGCCATTACCCTATCCTTCTTGCCTATTGCCTTTCAGCCTTCGATATGCACACAATGTGCTTAACAAATACCACATATTTCAGGCAACTGGGCTGCAATTTAGTCAGATAACCTCTTCTACCTCCCTTGAGAAGGGCCATCCATTTCCTTCTCAAGTTAAGCAGACACATCTCTTTGCAGAATAGCTCACAAGCAGTTATATTTGAACCTGATCATATACCTTAAATGTAGATTGCAGCATTTGACCTAATTCCAAGTTCAGAGCTCAATTTAAAAAAAAGCACCAAAACCCACCACCACCACAAAACACAAACGCACTGTAGTGCTTGCAAGTCAACATTCCATCTTGCTGCTAACAGGGCACTTCCTAAGAAGGAATCTTTAGTATGTCCCCCTGCATCTTTCTGTAGCCTTGTCAAAAAAGGTGGCCTCCCCTTCTCTGGTATCAAAACCCTCACATTGCATCAGAAGCACAGGGAAAAGGACTCCTTAGATAAAAAACTACTGCGTTCTGCCTGACACACAGGACACGCCACTCCTTGTTAATATCTCATCCTGCCTTTTAAGACAGGTCGCCCATTAAAATAACATCACCTGTGGACTTGGCAGATGACACAGCTCCCTTGCATCCCATACCAAACACCACTGATGTCTCCAAGATGTCTAATGCTTACCCCTTCTATAACAAGTCCAATTTCTTGAACTGTCCATTAATCAGAAGGAAGAAGAATACAAGATAAAGACTGATTAATGAAGAATCAGTGTTCTGGTGCAAAATCAAATACCCATCCTACACCAAAGCAGATACATGCACATGGTGTAGCAAAGGACTAAAGCATGTCTAACAAGGATGTGAGATCAAAAGTAATTTATCTGGCAACAAAGCCAGCATTGTTTTAAGCTGCTTGCCATAATGGAAGCTGAATGCTCTGTACTTGGACTACAACTTTGACATGGCTACCAGCAACATACTGAGACTAACTGCAAGATCTGCAACGGAGACAGAACATAAGATTTGAGAGATCTGAAGGCCACTCCATTCACCACTGTGGTGAATTCAACAGAGCAGAAAAACTTTCTTACCTGGGTTCTGGTTATAAAAGGGTCCTCCGTTCATCTGGTTCTGAAGGCTTGTCTGTGACGTGATCGAAGGAGGACGCCGATATGGCAAAGATCCCCCTATTGTTGGGGGGGTGTGTCGAGATGCAGGCCTGTTCATGCTGTAGAACTGAACTGGGTGACCTAGGTGAGAGAGAGAAATGTCTTAGCAAAGAGAAGAACGATGACTGCCTTTTTTATATCTGCATTCAAAGATTCAAAGGCTTGGAAAAGATTTTGGTTTTTTTTTAAAAACCAAAGTGTGCAACCTAGAAGCAGTCAGCCAGTTCAGCTGCCAGACTGGCAGGACACTGCATGTCTCAAGAGCAAAACCAAAAACAACTCTCCCAACTGCCTGTACTCGGCACTGCTCACAAAAGCCAGTATGAAAATACAAAGGTGTCTAAGCTACAAAGTTTCAAAATGAAAGAAAATAATTCCCAGTTATCCTTTTTATATCAGGTATTATTATAACTTCTTGCAAATTTAGCTATCTATAAAGCGTCAAAAAAGTAGCACCTCAGAGTCCAGCCATTAAGCAACATACTAACTAACCATATGCCATTTCCAAGATTCAAAGCTGTTACCTTCTACAACTGAAAAACACAATACTAACTATCTTAGTGCTGTTCAAGAAATATGCAGAGAATTATTTGGGGAGAAGAGAATCTTTGAAACTGCTTGAAGGATGGAATAAATGAAATCATACTCAAAGACCCTCTTTCAGGCAGCTGTCAACTGAAATGACTCCATAAAAACTTGCTCTCCATTTTAATCACTTCCTGTATCAAAGTAATCGATCCTGAATCTAAGCAAGCAATAAACGAAGCAACACCATTAAGCTATCTTCTGTGTTCACAGAAAATTCTCTAGCTTATATACTGTATGTAACAGTAAACTGGATTTATTATACCCATATGGGTTATTACCCTCCCTAACTATTCTGCCTCCTTCATTTGTGCTAGAAGTAAATTTCAGAGTTTGCAAGAAAACAAGGGAATAAGGGATGGTCACAGCAGTTGAGGAGACATGCATGTAGGGAAGCAAAAAGCAAAACAGAACAAATGAACATGCAATTTTTTAAAAGCCTGCATTGTTGTCCACTGTGTTTTGACTGCTTTGCGAAACTTCACACTAGGTCAGTAAAAAAAATGCAAGTTGCTTGCTCTGTTACTTGCTTCTAAGAGCAAATGCATGAAGTAGAGATTCACATTCCTCCTGCTTTGTACAGATATGTACGTCTCAAAAAATGCACTTTTTACAGGTGAGGAAGAACAACAGTTAAGAAGCATCCATCCATAGAGGCTTCTTCACATTTTTCCTAACACGTCTTTCCAATGTGCCTGTCTCCCTGTTACTTAATGCACTGGTAGAAATTGGCAGTGATTGGAGAGAAGAGGGGAGAGAAGAAACAGGGGTAAGAGATCCTTAAGGACCAAAACCTGCAACCTCATAAATGGTAAAGTATCCAGTCTCTTCAAATACTTTATTTCAGAGAAGCCATGCAAGCAACCTCACTAATAGCACAGGGAAACAAAAGATCTTAAAACCAGTAAGTAACCTGAAATTTCTCTTATGGAATTGTGAATGTGAATTTATAGCCATTAAAATATTAATCGCTGCTTGATTTTGACTTGTCAAAAATACAGAAGCAATATGGCTTAATAACTGAGATACTGACAGCACATCAAAAATGGCAAACTGATTGAGGACCCGTATTACACAGCTCATCTTCTAAACAGGAAAGATATTTAGACATCAGGATCATCTTCTGATACCAAAATTCTTCACAGTTTGGAAGCTTCTAGTCATAGTCATGGATACTACCGTAAGTATTTTCTAGTTTTATATGAGCCACTGCACCTTAAATTAAATACAATTTCAAGAATGCTTCCAGCACCTGGTAAAATTCGTACTAAGAAAGACACATAAATGAACACTATGAACACACAAACCATTCATACCATTGTGATCAGCCTATAATGTGAAGTAACAAAGCATGTAGGTAGCTATACATGAATTTGGTTGTCTAAACGAGATCTTTACAATACAGGTGTAACTCTTCACTAAAAGCTGATAAGAACAGTGTTATGGTTAGTAAGTACTATATGCTGCAACTTCAGCATATGAGAAAATGAAAAATGTAGGGTAATTTCATAAGCATTAAAAAAAGCAAGTTGCAATATACACCATAATTACCATCTATTAAAACAAAATGCTTTAGTACTATTCTGCATTAAAAAAACCTTGTATTTTACCTGACATTGAACACAAAATATTGCCCTTTTTATCAGTTCATTAAAAGGAGACTTGTCATTTGAAAGCATTGAAGAGACAAGTCATATAAATTATACTTTGCTAGATGCACTTTTTTTTTATTCCATTAATGAAAGAGAATAATCAGACCCAGAACTAACATTGCTGGTACGCCCAAACATAATTATTCTATGAGATTCTCAGTACCCAAAATGGCAATAAAATGATAACGTAATAAATAATGATATAAATGTAAAAATAATAAAATTATAAAATTACATGATTGCTGTTTATAAAACTAGCACACCTTGAATTGTCTACTATAACCATTACCTTACAGTTGGGTATTAGTAAATATTTTCTAGTTATATTTAAAAAAAAAAAAATCACTGCCTCTGAGGTAACTTTGAAAAGCCTTGGATCGTGATCACATCTGGGTTCATCTGCCCACCAGCTGGAGCAGACACTCACCTGTAGAGGGTGTGGAAGAAACAGCAGGGGGAGTTGGAGAGGTGAAGCCATCAGCAAGGGGCTGAGCTCCTGCAGCAGCAGCAGCAGCATCTGGGGCAGCGGAGGAAAGGGCAGGAGCAGGAGGAGTGGGGGCAGGAGCAGAGGTAGCAGGAAGGGGAGAAGTGCCAGCTGAGCCAGCAGGGGCTAAGTGAAGAGAGGAGGAAGAGGTGGAGTTAATAAGGAGATATGTTAGCAAGGATTAGAGAAAGCCTTTGACTATTCAGAGTTAGCTATTTATTAGATGCATAGTATTTTAGAATGCACGAGGAGATGAGAGAAAAATGGAGCTGTTAAAGAAAGGTTCATTCCTATGTAGACAGTAAATGAGGGTCAAGCAAATCCACTTCTTTCCAGGTCTGAAGGGAACAACCCAGAACTTTTCTCTGAAAGCCATTACTTTTGAAAGATGTCTTTACACTTTGTTATTTATGTTTCAATCTGTAACACGGCTGCCTTTAGCTTTTTTATGAATTACAAAATAGAGAGAAGAGGGAAGCCAAAAATTTCCAGTTCTTTGGTTCAGAAGCATCATGTATTTCAGATCACACTGCAAGCCAACACTGTGGACTCTTCTTCACTGAAAGGGCTGAGCAAAGAAAAAAGGACTACTAATATCACTTCCTATTTCTGGAAAGACTGGGACAATTACATTGAACAAGTGTCTGTCTGTGACAACTCCGTTAGGCTTGCATTAATGCACTAAATATTACTCTGTGCCTGCCTCTCATTTCCTCTGATTTTCTAAAACCACACTTCAATGTATCTGCATGAACAGCCAATGAAAAAACACTAATTTGCTTAAAAGGACAAGGGAGAAGTTTCCCCCAGCCCACTGAAAAAGGTGTTGTGTCCTACCTAGTCACATGCAGGCAGCCAGGCAAAAAACTCTGATAAACAAATTGATATATAAAACAAGCATTAGAGCACATCAGACACTACCAGAAAAGATACTACTTGATTCAAACTCATACTATCAATAGCAAGCAATTTTCAAGGCTTTTACATTTCTAGGTAATGAAATTCAAAACTTCTGTTGGGGCTTAGAAGACTTGCAAATGGTAAAGGTTAATGCCGAGTCAGAAGGAGGAACAGCACGTTTCCATTTACCTGGATAGACACTGGGAGGAGATGGTGTGGGAACAGCAATAGGAACACCCACACTTCCACTTCCACTGTTCTCTCGACTGCTGCTCCGACTACTTGGATGGCTTCCTCCACTACTCCCACTGCTGCTGTAAGAAACCAGAATAACCCAAGGTACGAATATGCTGCTGTGCATGCTGAAACATAACATCCCTCATAGAGCACCCTACTAATTCAGAGAAGTAACAGGGAACAAGAAAAGAGAAACAAGGATGATATAAATCTACATGAAGCTTTGTCTTCCTAAAACTCTTCACTTTGACTGCAACATAACAGGTTTTTCAGTTACTCTTAGTGAACTTCCCCAAAAATGAAACATTTTCAGAACCTTGTTCCAAAGCATGTCATTTCAATATTGTTACACCCCTACTGAGCAAATACAGACCTTTTTCGTATAACTTATAAAACATGTATATTGTTTAGACTCTGATTTATATGCTTTCATGAGACTACTGAAATCTGGAGACTGTAATATAGTAAAGTCAGATTTTCTTATATTTTAAGTCCATCTGTTTAGCCATCCTCAAGTACTTACAATGTTTAAAAAGTAAAGATGTCAAAGGAAGTATTTACATCTGTCACATCATGAAACTCTTACTATCCTAGAGAAAAAGCTAGCCTTCTGCAGAACCTTTGGTGATACAGTTCAGCTTTACTCTGTGTTTGAAGTTACCAGCATCCTCAAAGTACAATGCTCTTTTTCAGCTACTCAACCTATAAACATCAAAGACAGTTCAAACAAAAATGTGAACTATAAGCATACTATGCAGTCCCTCAACATGTATAAGGCAAGTTGTCTACAAAGTCTTTTCCTGGTTTTGCAAATATTTCATAAAATAACAGCATGATCTACCTCCTTGAAAGACTTCACAATTTTAGTAATTCATTAAGTACTGTAACTAAGAGTTAGCACTTAAATTAAGGTGACTAAGGTATTAAATGAACAATCTTAACGATTCACTATTCTGGTTTTATTAGAGTGCATTCTCGTCATGTCAAATGACGTTCCCAGTCCATATCATGAATGAGCAAGCTCCGCTGTAGAGGTGCAGATGGATTTGATATTTATCGTAGCATTTTCTGTCCATATGCTTATACAATACTAACCACATTTTGTACAGGACTACACTGAATACCTGTATGTGCGATTCCTCTGATTCACAGAAGCTGTTCTAACAGGGCTCTGTTGTGAGGGAGCCATATTGCGGGTTGGGCTAGGCACGTAGTCATTTGGTACCACCGGAGGACGTACTGGCTCCAACGTACGGTAGGGAGAGTGACGCCTACACAAGTACAAGCGTATTTCAGAAGCAAATGAAGATAATACAGATAAAACCAAAGATTTTTTCATTCTTTAAAAGATAGCTACATACTAATCAGTAATGAGAGCTAAAAAAAAATGTTTTTCTATCAGTTTGCAGTATCTACTTAATAGGATGAGAAAAAACAATTCACGATGTTCTTTATGTACTTCAATCTTCCTATTAATAAACTCTGTGTTGCACATCCCATTCTTGTTTTAAAACCAATCCAGATCTTATTTTAAAATAAAGGACCACAGTCTGTATGTATATACATAATCACATACCAACAAACAGCATTCATCCCAGCTACAACACATTTTCCTAAGGTCAAAGTCGAGTTCACAGACTTAACAGGAAAGTACCTTTATCACACATAATTAATGAACAATGCCACATACTAATTTTCTAGTTGTTTAGCATCACCTGTCAAAGCCACACAGTTAATGACTTTTTACTCTAACACATGTAGTTGTAAGTGTTCTGCAATGACAAAAAGGTTCCTGTTGGGAAAGGCTGATGATGCCCACTGTCTTCTGGCAGAAACGTGCTAAGACACGATCCGTATAAAAAAAATACCGATACGACACCTCTTGACCTTCGTGAATGGTTAAAACAAACACAAAACAAAACCAAAACCGCACACACAACAGAAAAAGAATCTTCCCTTCTGTTCACCAAAGCCGTTTACACGTTCGGTAACTGCACTTACCCAATAGTTCCTTTTCCTGACATTGGTGGACTTGGAGGCTTCTGGGTGGGTGGTGTTGTACGAGGCAGCCCACCCATCTTCATATTCTGTGTGCTGACCTGCACGAAAGAATGGCGAGAAAAACGGCCTTCACTAAGCTCGGCTTCTACGGGGAGAGACACTGAGATGCCTTTAGCAATTAACTCTAAGTAGGGGAAGGTTAAAACAAACAAAAAAATTGAGAGGCCATGCATTTTATATGCAATTTCCACTCTGCTAGAAGTCAAGAGTTGTGCTCAAAGGACTCTTTATTACATAGGGTTTTTTAAAATTGTATATGCAAAAAGTAAATTTGCCTTTAGGCTATCACATAAACATTATATCACTGACAATACAGACACTGCATCTAACTTGGCTAAAACTCCCAGTCACCTTTTAAGATAAAGGCAGGTATTTTCAAGCTGCACTACTGAATGGTAAATTTGAAAAAATATTTTTGAATGCTCTTTAAAAAACACTATAGTTTATCTAATAGGCCACAATTTTATGTAATTCATACAAATATGGAGAAGTCAAAGTAATCTCCAAATACGATCCATTAATGTTTTAATGTTTTCACAGTACAGTATCAAACAATTTAAGATAATATTTATTGTAAATATTATTTATGTATATGAAATCAGAGAGAGAAAGCTATATGGAAAAAATACAAAGACTTTTTTCCCCACACACACCACATCTGTAGCAATTTGATCTCTAAGAATTCATAAATAAAGGGGAGAAAAATATTTAGCAGTGATGTGATGTGATGCAATTGTAGTTGTCCCCTCCCCCTCTTTCAGGTTAAAATACTAATGAGGTAACTTTTATATAAAGAATTGACTCTTAACTTCTTTAAAAAACCTCATCTGCATTCCTGACTGATTGATCAATCTAGGATTCATAAACAATTGTTACCAACGTAGGCATTTTGCTTATCTGTATACTGTGAGCTAAGCATAATTCTCTTAAAGCATGCATCCTTACTGGAATCAGTACATGGTCTTCTTACAAGTCTCTGCTAAACAGCTTTGATTTGTGAATGCTCAAACTATTGCTTAGACACAGAGCTATTCATCAAACCTAAATAAGTATGCTTACATCCCTTCTTCTGTTGTTCCTGTCATGCTCTATTTCACACTGTTTCCTATTTCCAAAACTCGAGTCTTGCCTACTGCCCCCACCTCCCATCTAAAAAAGGCATTAAGAGTAATTGCAAACATCATTAAAGGCTAATTACTCCTTTAAAATTTGACTATAACAACTCACTTAAAACCCTGGCAATGCTTAGATTTGTGAATTGATAAATATTGAGAACAGTGTAAAGAATAATATATTTGGTATTCTAATCCACTGAAACTTGATACCCTGGCTTTAAATAATCCCAGTGCTATCACATTTTCAATCTGCTGGGAGGAAAAGAAAACCAAGCATTGGAAGGGGTTTTATTGTCACATTAAAAAATTAGTTGTGCAAGAGTACTTTGTCATGTCAATTTAAGACAAAATTCATTTGCATAGCATTATAAAGTCCTTTAAGCCAACTCTAAGCAACAAGAAATCTAAAGTTAATTCAAGTGAGGGATGAGGTAAGCACTGAACTACAACTACTTGAAGGGAAGAGGGAAAGTGTAAAATGAAGTATATTTTATTCTATACACGGAACATTAAGAAATAGCACAAAATCTGTTATTTTTTTTAAAGTTGCAGCACTTCCTGTATTTCCTCTTTCATTAAAGATGCCTGTTTCACCCACCTACCTGTTTGAGTTGTCCAAAAAAACCCACAAACACACACAAAAAACTCACCTTAATTAAGCATTCCCTGCATTGTCCCTTGCTATATTTCAAACAGCCCATTAAGCCTAGGGGAGCAGGGGTTTTGGATGTCTTTAGATGACAGCAAACTTAGACCAATCTGTGTGCCCCTGAATAGACCATTTAGATGTTCCAACTGGCTGCACTATTGTTTCTGACCAGATGATGTAACCACTAGCTATCACTTTACAGTTAATGTAAAATTCTGTATCTTTAACCATAAACAATCTTATTACTTGTATGCAACCACTGCACAAACAAAAATGAAGTTTTAGGCTTCCACTGCGCTAGAGCTACATGAAAAGAAAGGACAGTAGAGGTGGAGGACGCAGTGACATCACACAGTAGTCAGTAATACTTGCCTGACTAATGCAGAACTCCAGTGACTGCTAGTTACTTCCATTAACACTGCGAATAAACGTATCCTTGACATAGGATGGGAAGAAAGCTTTAGAAAATCTGGCCAAAGAAAAAGTGATCCTTTTTCAGCCATGGAACTTTAGACACAAAGAAGCCATCCTTAAGAAAGGCTAAACTGAAAGGTGGGGAAATGCACTGACAGTAAGCTTAGTTTCAGGCTCTTTGAAATGACTTTTCAACATTGAAATCAAAACGTTGGAAGAGCAAGTAATTAAAGTTTACAGGGCTATCTTCAAATCTGACGGGATTGATGGCTTTAAGATCAGCTACTCTAAGTTAAAAAACCCTGAGTAACTTCCCCTTTGACTTATGGCCAAATAATCACAGAAGAGAAATGAAGAATATAAAATTATTCCAACAGTTCTGATCAAAATGGACAGATTTGTGGAAATAACATCAGGCAAGACACTAAAAAAGGTTACAGACTTCCTTAAGGAAACAAAAAAGAGGGAGGAAGGGAGGAAAATTTACAACTATACAAGATGCAACTTAGTTGAGATGGAAACATTACAATGTTTCCACCTGTCCCCTTCCTTGATGACTTCGGGAGGGTGGGGAGGAGTAAAGTTACTAATGCCCCTCTCTTGCAAAACTTTATTGCCTTTTCCATTTTGCACATATGGTTGTAAATATAGTTTCCATACACAAACCTTCATACGCACACATCTCTCTTACAAACTTCTAAAATCTGAAGCAATCACTAAAACTCAAGGTTACATTGGCATTTGCTGTCAAGTTTTAAAGAAACATTTTCTGGAGTAAGTTGGAATTTGCCAGAAGTTGCACTTTTCCTGACAGCATTTCCCCTAGCTCCACACAGCTGGAACTATCCAGATGTAACCGGTTTAATTAGAGGGTGGAAGAGGAATGCATCTGTCGATAGTTTGTTTGACTGCAGGACCCCCCAGATCTGTGGTAGGTTTGTAGTTAAGAGCTTGCAAATTCTTTTAGGAAATTGTGTGGCAAAACAGAGCCTGCAACCTTAAACACAAAAGAGTATCTCTGCCTTTGCTCACAACTACCAAAACAGCTAACCACTGTGCTAAAAAAAGAAAAAAAAAGTAAGAGAAGCAGTAACGATTTGGGCACAAAGCTCAGAAAAAACCCCCAAACAACTGATTGTTCTAAAAGCAGGACAACCACCCTGTGAACAGACAAGTAGTGCACCGGCTCTATGCAGAATGCAGGGATTTTTCCAATTCTTTTTTTGTCTCTTCCCACAAAAGCAAAAAAGTAGAAAATATTACCAATTGAAATTACATGGAGGAACACCAAATAATTCTAGGGAGATCTTGGATAAGCTTTTTTTTGTTTGTTTTTTCATTAGATACTTTGCAGAAGTTTTTTATACATGAGTTAGCAAGCACCTGCACTACAGAAGAAAATGTCTTCTACCTAAGCTGTAACTCTGTCAGCGCTGGAGCTGGAATTTCAAGTTCTGCTGAAGAAGAAACTGCATAAACAACTTAAAACAAGCAGATCCTTGGTAAGTACCAAAGATATCCTGGAGGATGGTCTGAGATCCAGCTCCATTGTAACAGTCATAAAATGAACTGTAAAGAAATGGACCGCCTACGGACCATTCTGTTTAAAAAGGGTACAATAGTATTTCATCCAATATTTTCTATATTGAGCTACAGTGTCAGTTTTAGAAAGGTAACATCTGACTTCAAGACATGATATGGGACTGACTAGAGCACTTAGAGAATTAAGAATTATATGTCCAATTTTTATTTTTGGCAACCAGTTTTTCATAGATCCCAGTGATTAAATCACCTTCTTATGGTCCTACATATAACTGAGTTTCCTTCATAGTTAAATTTTTATAAACATTTAACAGATTGAGCTGCTTTAGCACTCCACTGTACAAAAAATTTGTAGTGACATAAACTGGTTAAAACTGAGAAATCCTGCAGTTCATTTAACTCAATGCTTGAAATGTTTCATGAGCAAAAAATTCACAGAACAAGAAGTGCAAAAACACACAGTTGCTCAGATGTAAGAGCTGGTCATCAGACATGCAAAAACTATTTGCACCAATGCCCTGTGTATTTACACGCTTGTAAGGCACTTACCTGCAACAAAGATTTCAATCCACATTTTTTTATCTGCTGCAGAACATTTCATTGTCAGTTCAATTACCAAAACAAAGTGTGGTTTGTTGGGGTTTTTTCCCCCCCAAAAATCCTGAATACCAGATATTCCACACAATCAAGTATCAGGAAGAGCCACTTTCTAAAGCCAAAGTTGGACTCAGCCCAGAAATTTTTAAGTGGTGCTTTATAGTCACATCAGATTTTCTAGAACTTTCAGGATGTCAAAAGAATCATTTTTTTGACCAAAATCTAATAAGAAAAAGTGTCCCATCAGTGATGTACCATGGATTATATTCAGAAACTTCAAGCAGCTGCCCAACCTTCTTGAGCAATTTTATACCTGACTCCAGCAAAAACAACCTAAGGCTGAATGAAAACTACCTTTCCATGCCTTGCTTCATCTTGTAAATGCTACAAGAGGATAAACAGATTTTTGGCCCATCATCTGCTACCTCAAAATAAATTCCTTTTCAGGCTGTGCTCAGCCTCTCGAATACTTACTCTGCATGTCTAATTAATCCATATGTTGTTAGTTGATTAACTAGTTTATATGGAAGTGAAATGTCTAAATTTCAACCCTGTCTTGGCAAACAACCACAAGTAGAAGCTTCAGCAAGTGAGTTTACTTGTTTTTACCACATACACCTATGTAGAGTAATAGAAGAACGAAGTTTGGTAAATATAAAAAGGCTTAAACAATGTCATTTTCAATTGATTTACTCCTTTGACTTGTAATTTTCTTCAAAAT